TTTCTGAAGAGTATTACTGGGAAAGGATTTAGGGCTTTGGAAGAGTCTTGATAGAGTCAAGGAGGGCTGTGACCTCCAAGCCCAGGAGTGAGAAGAAATGAGTAATATATTCTGAGAAACTCATTCAGGTGCGCTTGGGATGCATACCTTGGGGGAACCAAGAAGGAGATCAACATGTAGGAAGTGGGCAGCTGCTCTTTGGACTTAGGACTTTTTTCTTCCACATGTTTTTTGCAGGGTCATGAAATGGATGTCTACTTTTAAATTGAACTTTTTCAGTTCAACCCCATATCATCATGGAAAACCTTCCCTAGGTCCTCCTAGGCAGCAACTGAGAAGACCTGCACAGGCTGCATGTGTGGCCAGTGGGGTCCTGGCTGCCTTGCACTCCTGGGGTGGGTTTCAATGTCCAGGTTTGGTGTCACCAATGTATGGCCCATGGGTTTTCCCACCTCAGCTTTGCCTTTTTTTTTTTTTCTTTTTTTTGCCTTAACATCTTTCTAAAGTACTACCTTGACCTCAACACAGTGTTGCTACAATGCTGAGTTGTCTCACTGTGCAGTCATTGTTTCTTGTGGTTTTGATTAAAACTGAAGGACAAATGTTGTTTTGAAGGCTGTTAATTATTTGCTTTATTTATTGCTGATATAGAAAGCAAAGGAATCTCTGGTCTGTTGTCTCCTGTTCAAGTCATTGTTGCGCTAATGTCTAGGTATAACCACTCAAGAACTGTCATTAGTGGTTTGTTGTTTATTTGCTTTTCACATTGAAGATCATGTTAACTGTGTCATCTTTGGTTATTATATCAATAGAGATAATTTCAGTTGTTGTAATTTGATTTAAAGGGGAAAAAAATGCTGCTCCTAACATAATATGGAACAGTTATATTGTAAAATCATAGAATCATAGAATGGTTTGGGTTGGATAGGACCTTAAAGATCATCTATTTGCAGGCCCCCTGCTCTGGGCAGGGATGCTGGATACCAGATCAGCTTTCTCAGGACCCCTTTTAACCTGACCTTAAACACTTCCAGAGACAAGGCATCCACAACTTCTCTGGGCAAACTGTTCCAATGTTTTACCACCCTCTGAGTAAAGAATTTCTTCCTAACATCTAATCTAATCCTGGCTCCACAGACTCCATTTAATCTTCTTAATACAAAATACCTTTTTCTAAGATATTTTTTCTTGCTTCTCTAATAAATTAGTCTAATCTCATCTGAGGTATAACTCACAGAAAGCTGTAGTAAAACTTTGTGTAATTTGTTAAGAATTCAGTTTATTGTTTCAAAATTCATCATCTTGCTAATAGTGTGCTGAAACTGTACAGTGTATAGTCTGATAAGGGGTACTTAGAAGTATTGTGTGTAGAACTGGTGTGGTCTTTAATTTCTGAATTGCATGATAGAAGGTAAACATGCTGGTCAATAATGAAAACTAATCTTTAATTGCCGTAAAGGACATCTGTACATACTTTCAGTACCCAAATGAATTCAGGTACAGTTTCTACTGTTGTAGAATGCATTTATTTTAGAATTCAGAATTAAATGGCATTTCTAATGTTTCTGGGTAGTTGCTGATACAACTACAGTATCAGCACAAAATACTGAGCATCAGCATAATATATTTTTGTTTTCTCATTTAAATAACATACTACGTTTAAGTGGAAAATAGTCAAAACTATGGCAGTGATTTGGGCGGATATTTTCATTGCTCTTTGCTGAAAAAAATTAAAATTACCTGTTTCTAAAAAAATCTGAATTTATGTCTCTGTCCTCTCTTCAACCCTGCCATGGCATTTCCCCGGTCCTGGGCAGGAAGCTACAGGTGCTGTTTTCACAAAACTTTGTCAAGACAGTTTCTAATGAAAACACTTATTTTTCTTACTATCATTCATCATGAAGTAAGTTTGTTGGCTTGATTCATTTCCGACTGGGCAAGTATCCAGAGTGTTTTTAATAATTCACAGCTGATAACAGCTCTGAGGCCATGTTTTGGAGGCACCCCAGAGAGCAGCCTGAGCTCATGCTGAGATGCAGGCTAAACCAAGGCTGCCTCCAGAGCCTAGTCCTTTAGGTTTGCATCTTTATTGTTCAGATGAAGTAGCCTGAGAAAAACACCAGTTCCATACATAAGACTTACTGTGCCCTTGCTGTCAGGAAAAGAACAGTTTTCGTTGTGGTATACTGGTACTTCAGCAGGTGGAAAACTTTTATGGCTTCTTAATCAACTTTGCATCCCAAATGCCATTGAGATTTGGCCAGCTAGATCAGGTGGAAAGATTTCTTTTGTGGCTGGGAATATCTGTCAGATGACATCTGTACTATGCAATGCTAAATATTTCTACTGTTAGAAGTTTTAGATCTTGCTATAGTTGGAATCCTGGTGATGGAAGTCTAAATGCTGGCACCCATGATTTCCATGTTTCTCATGATAAAGCATATATAAATAAGCAGACCAGCTGCTCACATACTGCTGAAAGCTTGCGTCTCTGTAATTGCCAGACACTGCATGGATACCTTAGGGTTTAAGTTAAGATGCCTACATAATATTTGCCTGCAGTTCAAGTGTGAAATATGTTTCTGAGGGCACAAATGTGAGGAAATAGCTAAAGCCAAGGGATAGGACAAATCAGATGGTTAAAGTACAAAGCATTATTTGACCTGTCTTCAGCAAGGTTTTAAGCAAATGTTTAATTTTGTGATCATTCAGTCACTGCTGGCTTGGCCCTTTAGAAATAACTCTCCTTGTTTCAATTAGCTTTTCTAGGAAGGGATGACAATACCCAGTATTCAGTGCTGGAACACCAGCCAGTGAGGGGTACTGTAGTTCTTCAGGAATTTGGCTTATGGTTTTATGAGGTTGTACAAGGGAAGGTGTTCCTGCAAAACCACAGTGAATGGTCCAATAGCTAAGAAGAAACTATGGCTATCGGTATCTGGATTGTGATTTAAAAAAAAAAAAAAAATTAAAGCCATATACAGTTTATGTTTTGTGCAATGAGGTTGTCTTTGGGGGTTTAATTGTTGTGTCATGCAAGGAAGATCTTGTTTTACTCAACGTGGCAAACCTCACCTGGTAATAAGTCAGTTCTGTTAAGCAATTTGAGTTTTGCTCAAAGGCACAGGAGCAAACCTGCAGAAATCATGCCTTAGTCATTCAGAATCTGCTTAACTTCAAAGGTAGCTTTTATGTAGGCTACAAAAAACTTGGCCCGGTACCAGCTACAACAAACAAAACTCTGTATTAGTATATTCACCACATATTTTTTGCCAAGATCCATCAAAATACTGGAATAACTTTTTGTATGCTCTTTCAGGTATTCCCCTGGGTGTTATCCAATGAGCGTTGCCAGATGCTATTACAGCCAAAAAGGTGTTTCACCACCTTCAACACTGTGGGTCAGCATCTTAGGATCTGAGCATATGGGATATGGTGATATACAAGAGAAACGTGAGCTCTCCTAGATAGGGTTCTGCCAAGTATTTTTTTTTCTCTTGATCATTAGTCCTGTGTTAATCAATGTAACAGTGGGAGAGAGATAATAATTACCGAATGAGTTGAACATTCCGTATATGGTTTTCTCAGAATTTGGTGAGAGAAGTGAAAAAGTGATTTTCCTGTTACCAGCATTCAAGTATGCTTATTTCTGTGGCCAACTGGACGACAGAAAGCAGCCATATATGGGCTGAAATTCCCCAAAGAATGTGCAATAAATACATAGCTTGGAAGAAGGTTTCGCAGGGTCTCAAGAACACAGTAGTCATGGATGGAGAGGATTCTATTTCCAGCTCAAGAAATAGTTAGCACCACAGGACTTGTTTATTTAGTGGGGAAAGAAGACTAAGAGGAGTAAGTTCTTGAAATAACAAATTCTCTCTTCATGAAACAGCATAGTAGTAAAATCATGGTCCCAGGTTAGAGGCATTACCTTTCTGTTGGGAACTGGTGTTTGTTTTGGTAGGGTTTAGTTTGGGGGGAGGATGTTTCCTATTCAGAGCCCCTCGTGAGGCTGACCAAGGTGTGTGGTGCCCTTGGCTGCATGGCAGAAGCAGCCTGTGCCAAGGCCTGGTTTGGGCTGCAGAGCTGGGTAGAGGTTGGCACAACCCAGCTGCCTCATGATGAGCTGGTAGGCAGCAAGAACACAGCTGCAGGCTACACACTTTGCTCCTTTCCCATGGCCATGGAAATCTGGGACTTTTTGGAGCAAAACATCCAGCTCCTGTGCCCTGAAACCTGAAAGTGTTGCTGAATGTCATGGTTGTACTGCAGATGTGTGTGGCTTGCAAAGGCTGGAAGGGAATGCTGCAGCCTGAACAGTGTGAGGACTGTAGTCAGGCAGCTTAGGACACTGACTTTTGGAAGGTGTGCAGCATTAGCAGTAGCACAGTCAAGAGTTGCTCAGGGACTAGATTTGGAATATTATCAATTCTGGAAGAAGGTCATACTTTGCCAGTATATGTTCTGTCAGACTTGTGGGGAAGTCTAAATATAGACTAGATGTAAATGCCCCAAAGAGCACCAACTTCCTTGAGAATGTTTCAGGCAAAGGGAGAGGAAATTAATCTCTTCTACTTGACTTTCTTGGTACTGTGTGTGGTCATCAAGAACAGATCAACCTTTTTTGCCAAGGCTCTTTTGAGGATAATCCAGATTTCCTTTCCTGTAACATTCTAGAAACTGTACCAAAAAAGGTAACAAATAATGAGGGAAACAGCCATTTTCATAGACCTTGGAGAGGCTTAAATTAGCCCTGATGGCCTGTTCTAGTAGTAATTGCTAAAACAATTATTTACATTTGCCTGATTACATTTGCTGTAGTAGTTGTGGGTGAGTGGAAAATAAGGATACCCATAGAAAGTAAGAAAATTAGTGGGCTTTTCTCTGTATCTTGTTTTTTCTTTTTCTTCTTGAATCGCAGTTTTTAGATGAAAGTAGTCAAAAGTTTTTGTGCAGGATGTCTGTGTTTATAACTTGTACAATTTGTTTTCCAAATCTAGATCATTGACAAGGACATTAATCCCTTTGTGGATAAGTGGGAAGAAGAAGGACAGTTTCCAGCACATAAAGTGTTTAAAATCCTGGGACAGGCTGGATTCCTTGGTGTGGATAAGCCAACAGGTAGGCGAGTGTGTAACTCCTGACTATTAATAATGATAGACTCAAAAGATTAATTCGCTTTTGCCCCAGGTCAAAGCATGGGTTGGAATTCAGTGCAAAGTTTGCTTATATTCCTCAGTCACATACATGCTGGTTACCAGCTCTGCAAATTCACAAAATAACATTGTCGAGTACTTAAGTTGATGTACTTCTAAATACAAATGTTAAAATCTGTATGGCTGTTATTTTAAAATTAGGAAAATGAACATCACTTCAATTTTCAACATAAAATCTGCATAAGAACTTTTCTTCTGCATCCAGATATGTATGAAATAATCTAGATCTTCATTAAGGAAACCACAATTTGTAGGCATTGGAAGCATTTTAAGATTTGGCTTATTGTACTTCCTGAACATGCAAGGTCTCAGTCATTTCAAAGGATGAGGATAGTGTGGCCTTTAGGCCATTATCCCCTAGATTATCTTTAAAATGCATTGTTCCAGCCCACAGAAGCCTGAACAGAACAGGACACTGATGACACAGAGAGCAGGTTTTTGTGTGTATGTTCATATATGTAAGTGACCCAAAAAGTCCAGAGGAATAGGAAGTATTTCTGCTCTTCAGCTAAGATACATATTCTGCTATCTATTTTTTTATATGTGATATAATATATACTTGTTTTCTTTTCAAATGCTGCTGTTACATGTTCAAGTCAGAATTCTCAATGATTTTTTTACCCCATTTTCCTACATTCAGAGCAGCCCGAAGTGTTTGACAGTTAACTGCAGATAATTTTCTATATGGGGTGGCTCACATAACCTCAGCTATGTGCCTTAGCAGCATCACACCACATCATGATGCTGCTAAGGCACAGGGTTCTGTGCAACATATTATGTCTTTTTATCACTTAATTTCAGAGGGAATATTCCCTCTTGAAATGAACTCAAATTCTTATAATGTGGAAGGTTGTCCCACAGCTGTTCAGCTGTTAGATCTCAGAGAACTGTTGGGCTGTGATTGTCTGACAAATCCAATTAGGTCTGAGCTGGTATTTCTTTACAAAAATGCTGACAGTTCAAGATTATGCTTAAGATCTATTTAAAGGACAAATAGGATTACTGGGGGAGAGAGAAAACCACTTCTACTTTCTGCTATAATTGTTTGATAGGCAGATTTGAAATGTATCTCACTGGGTCTCCTTTGCATTGCTGACATTCTTGTCAGGTGTAATAATGGTGCATTGCATGGCTGGCAGATTTCAGTTCTGCCTTCTTATATTCATCTCAGGGCATGCAGAGGCTTCAGCTGGACTAAGTAACCTGAATGCTGAAGGTGCTGCTCATAAAACATTACAGAGGTGGGAACTTGTATAATGCTCACAAAATATCTGGACAAGAAATAACTGAAGTAAAATCCAGTGAGGAAGGGACTCGTGGAGGTAACGGTGGCACAGAAGGTTGCATGCACTTGTCATACTCATGTTTAAGACTATTTTAACTTTGGCTTTGATGTTTGTATCTAGCTGTTAATGTAATTTATTTGACCTCTGCAGCTACTTTTCATAAAAGGTATAAAAAATTGATAAAATCCTCAGCAACCTGTGATCCACCTCAGTTCAGTATTGTTGGGCACAGAAAGTGCACCAACTCCTTGGAAGCTGCTGTCTTTGCAGCATTCAGTTGTGCAACAGGATTTCACCAGATCCAGCTTTTCTCTGTAATGGTTAATGCCACCAGGTACATCCTGAAAGTCCTGAAACTTTCTCCTGATGGTAAGTCAAAGTAAGGTGTGTAACAGCACAGTGTATGTAACTGCACAACTTTGGCAAAGCCAAAAGCTGAAATTCTTTGTCTTCTACACTTCTACACAGTGCTTAGGCTTGCTGAATGATTATGTAAAATAGAATTAAAAGATCCACTTTTATACTCTGCTCAGCCACTTCTGTTATTTAGTTGCTGTTTGCAGAGGAGGAGAAGTCTTATGAAATTTGAAGAAGCAAAGAACAGCCAGGAGCTTTGGAGGGGTGTTGCAAGAGGTTTGAAGAAGGGATATTTAACTGATTTGAGGAGAGCAATTGCAATGCAGAGCACTTGTGAGTTAACAGTCTGCCCTACTTTCTCTTTCACAAACCAAGATTATCATGTTGTATCTCTTCAAATCCAGATCATAAGACATTCTCTTTAAAGAACACTGATTTTTTTTAAAGTTAATTCACTTTAGTAATAGTTGCAATTTTGAAATACAAGCTTTATTGAGTTTGTTTTCCAAGATCATTCTGTCAAGCATGGAGGGATTTTTTTTCCTGCAGAAATAATTTTGAAGCTTTCTGATTGGGCAGAAATGGGTCACTTGTTTTGCTTAGATAGAAGGAAACATCTGTTGGATTTTAGATTTGTTGAAAGTAGACTTTTTCCTGTGTAAACACCATTCCCTTTATGAACAATGAGCTGCTTCATGGGAGTCAGGTTTTTAAAAGAACGTGCCTTAATGTGTCCTTTATCACTGGAAACTTTCTCTGTGTGGAGAACTGATTTGGGGCACTATTTCTATTGCAAAAGCTCCATCAATTCCCACTGTATGCAGTTGCAGGCTACAAAGTTGACAAAGCTTTTCCTGTACATTTTTTCACAGTTGTTTACACAGTAGTTGTTTCTAGTGAATATTGGCTGTAGTTCAGGGTGTTCATTGGAGGTCATGTAAACACTGTGGGCAAAGCTCAGGCATGCACCCATAATTGGAGAATTTTTAAGATCATCAGTAGATTTAACTTACTGTCTGGTCAGTTCTCTGCCAGAGAAGGAGTCTTCTCTTCGAACAATTTCTCTGCTCTGGTATTCTTTACATGGCTCAAAAATAGTGCATATGTTAGTTTTGCTTAGGAAAGGGTTTGTTTTCTGTTACATGGCAGGATTCTTCCTACTAGTAAAATACATGGTGAAAAGTGAATATCATTTATGCATAAAAAGTTTATTTTTGCTTCATGCAAAATGTGTTTTACAGAATTACTTCATTCAGGATTTAGAAGAAAAAAACAACATCCCTATATACTTATTATTCTTCATTTATGTTTACTGTGTATTTCTTAATAAATTATAAAATTATTTTTCATTTATGATTACTGTGTATTTCTTCATAAATCATAAAATTCTGAGTTACTGAGCTACTGCCAGTCCCAAAACTAAGGGTAGAGAATATTAGGGCAGGCAGCAGAAATATTTAACCAGTCTTGGTAGTTTGCCATTGTCTGTTTTGCTAAGGGAAGTGAGCAAGACGTATTCTTTGAACTGTTCTATGTGCAGATTAGATGAGATACTGGATTAAAAGTGGAAAGTATCTGTCTGGTTATCTGTGATCCTATGGTTTATGAATCAAAGCCTTGGCTGTTGCTAAATTTTAGGATGTATTGCCAAAAATGCAGGCTCAAAATGTACTGTGTGCCTGCATATGCCAATGCAGATGATTAAAAGTTGTTTTATCAGCTGATGTAAAAGCACAGGAATTCTGTAAAGGATGGGAGAGGAGGGTTTGTGGGAGGGCAGTGTTTGCTCTCCTGCGAATTCACATGGCATCACTGTGAAACACGAGTGATAATGATGCCTGCTCTGTCTATTTCATTTGTGTTTACACTGGCAGTACTGTAGGAATATTTAGTGAAAGGCATTAGCATCTAGAAATAATGATGACAAGTTTGTCCAAATAGTAGCCTTCATTTATTACTGTCAGACACCTAGCAGTGAATGTAGAAAATATGTTCCTATATATTTCAGGAAAATTAAGTAACTGTGGTACAATTTGCACATGGATGAGGAAGTGTAGTTCTACACTGTCTGTCCCCTTCCTCTACTGCTGGGAAAATGTCAGATTTGGGAGTGGAGAAAGTAATAATCATTACCTTCTTGTCATTTCAAACAGAGAAGCATCTGATAAAACAAAAATAATGTTTCAAGTGTATGATTGCACTGCAGTTGGAAAATGATACAATGCCTTCCCTTCAGAAAACCTGTTTATTAGAAGTGTCTCTATGTTGAATGTGGGGAGGGAATATAGATCTGTACTATCCTCTAAGGTTAGTTCTGTTGTTTTCTTTGCAAGTATACATTTCTCTGGTAAAATGAAACCTTGTGAGAGTTTGGGCATGGAGAATCACTTGGAAAAAGTGTATGGGGTTATTTTTTCCCCTTTCTGTAATACTAAGCCTTGTTATTATACAGAATGAGCATAGAAGGACCTGGGAGGAGCAGTAACTAGAAGGGGATTTAGTAGTTCAGGTGAAACAGGGTTTGATGGTAACTTAGAAAATAAATGGAAGATGTTCAGGTACTTCTGTGGATAGAACTAGGAGGGATATATTTGTCAGAAGTGAATTAATTTACCCCAAACCCTTCCTATATGGCAGTAGTGGACCAGCTGCAGTGCTTGTTCTTGGTTTAGTAGATTTAAGTGTAGTCAGCTGAATTGAATACTTGATCTTTTTCCCACTTACAAAAGAGTGCAATAATCATTAATAAATAGTAGTTACACTCTGAAGGTTTGCAAGAGGAGCCTTTGGGTCATGTTTCAGACACCAATGAACCAATAAATCAGCACTCTCAAGTGTTTACCAGCTATAATTTATACCTGTTTTGCAATCAAGAAATAATTTTGATAGGCCTTCAAAAAACAGTAGACCAAATCAGTCACTGCTTTATTTGAATTTATTTGATGACAAAAATCGTGATGTGTGGCAGGGGTTTGGAGACCTTGATCAGGTAAGTATAAGAAATTTCAGATGCTTATTGGACCTTCTAATTCAGTGGATTGGATTGAAATCTCACGAAAACAGGATTTTGTATGTGTATATGCACCTGAGTTCTGTGTAGTTGAGACTTTTTTTCTCTCCTCCACTGTTGTGAAATGCTGACTATTCAAGTCCCATCTATTATATTGCAAGTGCATGATGAAATTCAGTTGAAAATGGTAAGGGGGGGACAGTTTGCTGTATTTCACAGATCATCAGGTATTTCTGATAAGACAGGGAAATG